CACAAAGAGGGTCGCTCGAAATCAGCAAGGTCAACAAAAGCATTGGCGAAGGACCCATTTTGTATCCATTTACAACAAGATTCGACGCCCACGGCCCAAAACGACATGTTCAAGACCATCGAAAGGGATCCCGAAGCAGATGGAAGGAAGTGTCAAGTTCTTATAATGTCTTTGAATACTACCGAGGCAGTTCAAGTATGCTGTTCTCGCTCGTATGGGTCTAATTCTAACACAAGTTGCCGCTATTCGTACCACCATATCGAGCATCAACATTATCATTGCTACATGTAGCGGCCACTGCGTGTTTCGGTCGACCCTCCTATTCGGTAGAGAGCTAGAGGCAAACGGCGGCTGCCACAGCACTTCAAACCGGTGACTGCAACTAGCATCATCAACAGTAGTAGAAGATGTTGTAGTATAATAGCAGCAATAAACGTACTTTGAATAGTCATGATTTTCCCACTCGTAGACACTGCGCGGATAGTAAAAGAATTCAGGGTACAGTAGTAGAAGCAGCAATGAGGTCGCTAATAGAAGCAAGACATGCCAGTAATAATGTTAGTGCTTCAAGCGCCTCAATGGCCCCAAGAAAAGCCTGCAAGCTTAACTCAGCAGCTGAGCATTCTGAGAAAGTGATTGGCGAGTCCAGATTTTTGTAGTCAAGTTGACACTGAACTGCTTGGCGGTCTGAAAGGCTGATGTGTTTAGGTAGACTTGAAGTGAGGGGCTTGCTGGCCATGCCATCAAGATCCGGCATCAAGTATACGAAAGTCTACGCATGTATATACATGTTTTCTTTTCTGGAACCGCTATCTACGTATTAAAGATGAGATCAAGTACAAAGGCAATCCACAGGATGAAAGCCAACTCATGCGCTGTCATCTCACAATGCTGAACGAATCCGAGTCTGCTTAAAATCAAGTTGACGTCGAAGAATCACTCTCGCAACTACATGATGCTTTCATATCTGCGCCTGACAACGGATGAGGGAAAAGCCTTAGAGCTATAAGTTCTAGGACGCTGAGGTGCAACGAATCCCCTTGATATGTGCAAGGAATGGCAGCACATATCCATGAATCCCCAGCATTCCAAAAGCTCTCAGCCTTGTGAATTTTTGGACAATCCTTGTAAAGCCTAGGGTGTTTCAGGGAATGGGCAGTTTTCTAGGCATGTAAACCCCCTTGGAAGACTGAAAACCTCAAGTCCTGGATTTACTTCTTTCAGGGATGCAAACTCTGTTCCCTTGGCCTAGCTTACATGTCCCTCCACTGTGAAGAAGCCCAACAGGACCTAGATCAAAACCAGACCAAGTAACTAAACGGCCAGTACCCCAGCCCGCAGCCCCCTAGAAGAGCTTGCAAACGGACGAACTTCGAACCCCAGACCCAAACCTTAGTAAAGCCCACCGTGTTTATCATGAAACTTACAGCTTTTCAAGGGAAAGAAGGCCGGTAAGCCTGAACCCGGAAGCTTATGGTTTCATGGAAGGCCGTCTACGTGTCCAGGGTTTCGGGTTTAAAGGGCCTCCCGAAAAAGATTCCCCCTGTACAGATGTAGCCTCTTGAGCCGCCTTGGGCAAAATTGGTTCGTATATGAGCTATAGTCTAAACTCCTTGAAAGGGGGTACATAAGAGATTGTAGAGGCGAATATTATGGGGGTTATTAAGGGGCATACTGGGAGTTTAGACTATATCTCCTATAGTCCTCTATATAATCCCACTCTCCATTTCATTTTCCATTTTCTTTTCCATTTGGTTCTCCATTTTTTAGACATTAGCTCATATCATTCCTAGGACCTAGGATTTCAAAGCATTGCCGGATCTCGTGTTGGCCGACAGCTACAGCAGAGCCCCAAACCTGGCCCTCGAGCCCTCAACTCTCTTTCATGCACCGGGTTTATATAGGGATTATAGGGGATATATTGGGGTTATTGGGGTTATATAGGGGTTGTATTGGGATAATGGAAAATAAAATGGAAACTACCGTCAACTTTCGGCCTAGCAGGGTAAGGTGGCAAGTGAAGGCTGCCAAACCCTGACTTGGATTGCCGAAGTTCCAAGGAGGCCTTCAGGATCCCAGGAAAATTTCAGTCGCTGTCAGCAGCCACAAATAGGAGTATCAGTGTCCTACAAGTAGCAGCAGAAGAGATCTGGCAGGGCTCCTTATTTCGGGAATCCCAACGCAGGGGCCGTGCCGCGATTCGAGGATTCCCCCAGCTGCGGGTTTACAATCATCGTGCCTTAGTATGGCGAGCCGTGACATGAGAGCTACATAATTTTTGATGATGTCAGATCAGAACAGGAAGCGAGATCTACCCCACTTGGGACATCAGCTTGATTAAGCAGCCCAACGCCAAACAGGCAATGGTCACACAAAGGCCGTGAAGAAGTGTCCAGAAATACCCAAACCTTCGGCACATCATGTACGTGGCCTAACAGCATTCATGCCTTAGAAGCAGAGACAGTATCCCAAATCGTCAAAGCATAAGTTGAAGCATTCTTTTTGGTGACTTGTCATCCTCAACTCGGAGGTGTACTCACAGCAAATTCTGTGGGGTACACGGGGTTTGAAGCAAAGGTAAAGGTGATGCAGAGTAGAAGCGCTTTTCTAGTTCCATAAGGTTTGACTCCGAAGCAGAATGCAGGGCCCCAACAGCAGCCCTGCGTCACGCGGCTGAATATTCTATCATTGCGATGCTGTTCAGTTCCGAGAGCTCTGACGGTCTCAAAAAATAGCGGTAGGACAGCCATTATATCAGCATCTGCCGAAAGCGCTCGATGAAGAAGCTGTAGACTGTAGTGTATAGTGAAAACTACCCAGTTCAATCAGCTCCGTACCACACCCTGTGTAACTTTCCTTCCAGGAACGAGTGCAGCAATGCATCATGTGCATCAAGCAGTAGGATTGAAGTTTGAGACCAGGGCTCTCTGTAACAGCAGTTGCTGATGACGCGGCAACAGCACAGAAAAAATGCATCTTCTTGGTCAATACCTATTCAGGGACACGTGTCATTTGGGTCGCGAGTCTTGTCTTCCATGAACCTCTTGCAGCAAGCCCAGAACTTGAAAGGGGTGCTTCACGGCAAGTGCATCTTCTCTGAATACCAGGATTTGTTTTCAGCTTACTTGTGCGTGATCTTGCAGGCAGGCATCCTGAGCGTTTCAGATCAAGGAGGGCATCCGGGAATTCGACGCTCCCTTAAGAAGAACGATGAACTGTAGGGTAAGAGTTTGATGTGCAGTCCATACCTCATAGACCCCTAGCAGTACTTTTTCGGTTGTCAGACGAGGTTCGTGATCCATTGTCTTGCTGCTAGCAACTTTCAAATTGAAGCTGCTCAGCCACAGGCGTGCGTAAGCAAAATGTAGAATAAGAGAACGCATGGTGGTACTTGGCCTATCTTTATTCAAGAGGGTTGAATCTGGTGATATCCTCATTCTCGGGACATCGTATGCTGCTGGCCGTGCACTCAGTCACCTTGAAACCAACCCTTTCAGAATAACAGTGCTTATTGCTCCTCACGTGGTCTGTACATGAGATACATTGCCCAAGCAGAAGAGGGAGAGGGGCAGAGCAAAAGCAAAGCTCGAAAAAGGAGAGAGAAAGAGGGAGAGATACCGAACCGCAAGTGCCTCCTGTAGCAGCCACCGCAAATCATGATCACCAACGACCACAGCAGGAACCGGCCAGTCACCAACCGACGGCAGAACATGCAGAGGGAGCGGAAGAAGGGGAGGACCCAGGCAGGCACTGTTGGAAAACACACAACGAAGCCTGCCGATTAGTTTGCAAGCGGTGGATGATTTCCTTGTAGCGACTGACAGGCCCTTGTATACTGTGGTACTTCAATCGCAGTGCACCGTATCAACAACCAGCTGGATCAGTGAACTTTTGTCTGATTTACCTTTGGAGCTGTGATCTTGTGTGTGTGTGAGCCGTTCTAGGAAATGAGCGAAGGGGGTCACTCCCAAGATTTGACAAAGCCCATGTTTGCATGTTCATGAAAACACTTTACCAAGAAGATGCAGGGGGGCAGCGGCCTTTAAGCAAAACGCTGCCTAACAAAGCTATGCTTGAA